GAAATTCGGGACAGAAATGGCCAACAAGATACGGGCGAGGCACCATTGGTAGGTAGACAATGGAGACCCACCTGGCCCCACTCTACATCCCTCCCTCCAGCATCAAGGCCACTTAGAAGGACCTTCTAAAGACAGAGCACAGTCAGGATTTGCTCTGTGTGGCAGCTTTAACAAAGTGAAAATACTGTGGACCCTCACACACCCCCAGCTGCTCACTCTTTCAACAAGATACAGACACCTTGGGACAGTCGCCTTTCTTTGCAGCCAAGGAGTTGCATTTATTCTGATCAGTACCCACACAAGATTTTAATAGCCCTTTCCCTTTCTTTATGACATGCATTGAGAAGACTACTTTTATTATTCATTAAAAAAAATTTTTTTAATACTTACTTATTTTTGAGAGACAGAGGACAAGCAGGGGAGGTACAGAGAGAGAGGGAGACACAGAATCCCAAGCAGGCTCCAGGCTCCAGCTGTCAGCACAGAGCCTAATGCGGGGCTTGAACCCACGAACTGTGAGATCGTGGTCTGAGCCGAAGTCAGACACTTAACCGAATGAGCCACCCAGGCGCTCCAAAAACTATTTTCGTTATTTTTAAAGATTTTATTAAGTAATCTCTATACCCAGCACGGGGCTTGAACTTACAACCCGGAGAGTTGCATGCCCTATTGACTGAGCCAGCCAGGTGCCCCAAGAGGACTATTTAAAAGTTAAATAACAGGGCTTGGGAAAACTCAATACACCCGGGGTGAGAAAACAAGGTACGGGCCAGTAGAGTTTCAAACAGAAGCAGAGCCAGCATCGCAGTGAGCCAGCGTCCCCAGCCAGCGTGGGACACACTGTAGGCACCGGTCACAGGTACAACGACATAAGCCTCCCGCTGAAGAACAGATTCTGGACCACAGGATGTCTACAACAGCTTCTAATTGGCGGGCATTATTTGCCAAAAGCCATCTTGGATTACCTCACAGTTAGCCTAGGGTTGTATCGTCAACTTGTTTAATTTTTTTTAACGTTTATTTATTTTTGAGGGAGAGAGAGAGCACGAGAAGGGTAGAGAGAGGAGGAGACACAGAATCCGAAGCAGGCTCCAGGTTCCGTGCTGTCAGCACAGAGCCGGACGCGGGGCTTGAACCCACGGACCGCGAGATCACAACCTGAGCCAAAGTCGGACGCTTAACCGACTGAGCCACCCAGGCGCCCCACCAAGTGGTTTTCAATACATGGCTGAAAGTGCCAAAGCAATCAAATGTCAAGTTCGGCTAGACGGACTTGTAAAGAGGGCTCCGTGTACCTGCACAGGTAGGAAGGTCAGGAAGGCACAGCTCCTGGGAGCACGGAGCTTTCAAACCACGTGCCGACAGCTGCTGGCATTTTCCTCATGGTATGCATCTTGGAGCGTTCCAGAACTGCCCTGGATGCCAGGGTGATACACATGTGGTTGTTAACGAGTGTCGTGTAGAAACAACAGCTTTACCCAGTGCCCACCGATCGTTCAGTGGGTGTCTGATGAATACTAACGAATGTTAATACTAAATTAATTACAGAAGTGGTACCTGTGCGCCACGGGAAAAGCTTCATTACCCTGCATGCACTCTCAGTCGTCCTTCCAGACTGAGGAGAATGATCTACAACAGGTCAGTTCACTCCTTCCCCAGATCCAGGGCTAAAGGTGAGGCGGCCAGCATTTCTGCCACACGTTACAAAAAATGTCCCTGCCTTTTGCTCCCGCCTCCCTCTGCTGTAAAGACGGGATGTGAGTGTGCATCGCATGGGGTTCGACCAAAACCACCCCGCTTTTCTGAAAGAGATTACTACAGATATGCATTTCAACCAGTAGACGTAGGAGGCACAAATGTAACTTTTTTGTTGTGGGTGTTCGGCAGCCGGCTTGGTACCATGGGAAGGACAGCTGGAGATCTGTAAACATTCAATCGTAATATCAGAAACGAAGGATCGCCACCTTAATCTGATGTATCTATCAACTCAAGCATGGGTGGCCTAACAGTGACAGAACAGCTTATTTTCTGGAACAAGTTGGCAGGAACCCGAGTGTTACTCGCAGATACCCCGCCCCCCCCCCCCTTAGCTCTCAAATATCAGCACCGGTGTGCTTTTCCGTTCCTCACTGAACTTATGAAAAGAGCAAAATATACAACTGTTGAACAAGGAAACTGTAGCTGAATGAAGCAAATGATGTGTGGCTGAGGTTAACTTGGCAAAACCTACATCATACTCAACGTGCGGATTTCCTCATTTCTGGGAGGAAGGAAGTTGGGAATCATCGCCTAATTGTTCCGCTTCTACTTTTGAGAACTCCCCGGTCACACTCGTCTGGGGTGGGCAGTGTTTGCTCTGACCTGAGGGCCATCAGAAGATGGGGGACCGGGGACCGGGGACCGGGAAGGCGGCAATGATCCTGTTAGACTAGCAAGGACAGAGCCTGCTGGTGTCCAGAGAGAAGGGAGGAGGGGAAGGTGGGGAGGGGGCAGCTGTGGAGGCGAGGAGAGAATCAGGAAGCTTCTGCTCATGTCCCTCTTACCTGCTTCCTTGAGCCTGACATAGTGGGATCTATTGCATGGTAATGCTCAACCGGGACTGAAACACGGAGCACTGATAAACACTGCCGGATCCGTAAGCTCCAAATTTTAGTGTCAAAAAAGTATGACATATTGGCAGAGCTGGCCACAGGACATTGCATTATCTAGCCTGCATATTCATCATGAAAAAGGAGTGATGGGAGTTGCAGCAGGCTGCTTCTGAAATGACTCCCAACGATCCCACTGGAAGTGCCATGCTGATTACGAAACGGCAGGACGCTTCGCGAGACTGTAGCCTGCAGTTCTGTGGAAACAGAAGAGCTTTCCTAATGTTACCTAATAAACACGGTTATTTAGCTAGAGGGATTTCTGAGCAGCGTGGAAGGTACCACCTGGGTTTTCTTGCTACTTACAGTATGAGAGAAGAGAGATACATTGAGTGAATGATTATTAAACAAGAAGGGAATAGGGAAACTGAGACGGAAAACACATGGCCTTCTGGGTTCAGCCGCAAACTGTGAAGGGCTCAGAGGCCATTGCTCCCAGCCTCACAGCAAGAAACACCTGAATAAGTGGAAATCAGTGATGATTCTTGGACCCAGAAGAGAGGGGAGGTCCCAGGGCACACACAGCTCCCCAGGAGCCTGCGCAAGAAGGGTAGATCTGCTAACCCAGAGCAGAAACCCTGGGACAGGAACAGGGAGGAACAGGTCAGCGGTCATTTTTGATGAACCGCTAGAGGCTGAGAGCGGACTAGCGCCAGGGCAAGGAAGTCCGCGGGCCACACTCACGGGATGCCCACCCTTGTGGATTCCACGTCCAGAAACGATGGAAATGACAGACTGTCTCTGAGTTATTAAGCACTCCCAATGTCAGCTCCCAATGTTCCAGGCTGTCAGCGACACCTGCCATTTGCTGCGTGCCTGTTCCTGTGCCTAAGCACCTTCTACGCATCCATACTTCGGGGTCTCAGGGTCGTCACCGGAATTTGGCACTCTAGTGCCTCCCTCCCAGCCGTAAAACCACCAAGAGAGAACCTCCCCAAGGACGTTTGCCAGGCAGGGCAAAGCCAAGACTCCGTACGACACGTGCCTTCACCACCACGCCCCGTCCACTGCCACACACACGGATGCCCAGCGCATGCCTCCCCATCCCTGGGACCAAAACCTCACGAGTTCATCTTTGAACTTCTTCACGGGGCAAAAACCATGAAAGGGGATAACGGACTCTACCACATGGGCCTTATTCCTATCTGGGGACATGGCCAAAACGATGAGCACCAGTAACACCTGAGAGCTAAATCCTTTTCCTCTTAAAGGGGCACCGCAAAGGGATGTGCTTCTTTCTGTTGGGAAGGAGCAAGTTCCGGGCTGGCTCTCCCAGCAGAAGCCAACTCCTTCCCTCACTTTGTAGATGATGAAACATAGGTTGTGGGGCCGGGAAACAGAAACTGAATTATGCCACTTGATTTTCCTTCCAGAATATTCAAACCGCAGTATCTCTACCTGGATAAGTCCCGAAGAAACCAACCCACCAACCAACCAAACAAACCGACCAAGATTTGGCTAAATGCTACAGCCGGGCGCCAATAGGCTCTGGGTCCACTATTCAGACTTGAGAGTCTGTAAAATGTTGCAATGCGGTCTTCGTGGTACAGCTGTTCTTTCCGGGTTTGTTTTTCCTAGTTCCCAAGGGTCAGTTTTCCACCTCTACCCCAACGCTGCCTAATTAGATCATGACTTCACAGGCGCCAAAGGAAAAGAGAGCGAGCGAGCGCGACAGCCAGGGCCAGAGAGACAGGAACCCCGGGCACGCTGCAAACACTAGGGTCGGGCTGCAGGAAGGCGTGGGCGCCCAGGGCCGCCTTCCCCCGACCTGGCCCGGGGCCAGCGGACCCAGACGCACGCGGCGGCGGGGACCGAGCCGGGCGGCCCGGAGCCCGCCCCTCCGTTCCCGGCCTTCGCCCGGGCGGGGGCGCCCGGCGGAGCCTCGCGTGCCCCCTCCCGACCATCCCGGGG